TGATATACCCATGTATTACTATATTTTCCTACTTGATATTATATAAATAAAAAAAAAAAAAAAAAAAAAAAAAAAAATTTAATTAAATTAATTTAATTATAAAAAAATATAATAAATTTTAAATTTAATTATAAAAAAATATAATAAATTTTAAATTTAAACTTACATCTGAAAATGCAATATTATAATCATTCCATCTAGAAATATTATAAATAATTGCTATACTTTCTAAGGATGTTGGTAGATATTTAATAAAAATTGATAAATATTGAATCTTATTTATATAAAGCTTTTTTGTAAATAAATTATAAGTTTTGTTAATAGTATCTAATTCATCATTTGTAATTTGTATCTAAATATATTATAATATTAATTAATTTACTAATACTATAATAATATTTTTATTATAAATTAATATTAATGCATATAATTTTATTTAACTTACTAAACTATCAATATCTATTTTAGGAATTTCAAGGTCTGATAAAGATTTACTCAAAGCAGCTATTAAATCAATAAAATTATTGCATAATGATGTACTTGAAAAACATAATTCTGATTTTATTAATAGTGCTATTAGAAAATTCAAAGACTCTAACATTGCAGAAATATTTGAAGATTCTGATAATGAAGATTCAAATCTATTTAATAACATTTTAGAAAGATAAAAGTAACAAATTAAAAAGAAAAAATTAAATAACAAATATATATTTATTTAATCAATATTTAATCAATTTAATTGATAAATCTAATTATTAATAAGCAATTTAACAAATGTCACTTTGTTAAACATTAATATAGAATATAAAAGTTAAATTAATATATTTCGAACCAAACTAATACTTTTATTAATAATAAATAATTTATTAAATATTATATTAAATTATTAATATTTAAATAACAGTTTTGTTTTATTTTAAATAAAAATATTAAGCTAAATATTGTTGTGCTCAGAAGTTTGTGACTCTGTTACTCCAAAATTCTAAATCTCGTGTAATATATAATAAGTAACTTTTTTGAAAGAGGGTGTTAGATTTGGCTTGTAGGTAAGAAAGGCTTTCGGTTACTTTGGGTCAACGAATGCAAGTGGGGTAAGTCACATGTACAAGGGCTTGAACAGCGATGTTTACAGAAGTTTACAAGGTTGGTAACGGTATTAGTGTTAGTGTTTATTATGTACAATATAATGTATTAGAGTTATTGTTTAATAAAGCAAACAAAGTGTACTGCTCCAAAGGGCCATTTCGGCCTTTATTTATAATATCTTTTTACTTATAACTTTATTAATTACATTTATCTCTTTAAACCCTTTAATTCGATTCCTCTAATTTATTTACTTAAACTCATTTACTTAATAAATTCCCGTTCTCTAATTAATCACTTTTCTTCAATTAATTCCACTTTCTTGATTTATTTAATTAATCGCATTAATGTGATTAATTGCCAGGATATCTAAATTGAGGAATTAATTGCCATACCTGTTCTCATATGAGGTTCTGGCAGAGTATTTACATCATGTTATTGGGCCTTACAATATTTAGTACTTAATGCATAGTACAATTTTGTAATTTTATTTATATTTCAGTATAATTATATAATATTTTGAGTACTTTATATAGATATTTTAGATACTTTGCAATATAATTAAATAATATTTGGATTTTTTATAGTAAATTATATAGATATTTTAGATAATTTTTCTAAATAGATTGATGGTGTAGCCAAAATTTAGCAAGCAATCAAAATCCAGAGTCAGCATAAGGTTGCAGTTAAGTATGTGATAGAATCATTCTAATGATAGTTATTACATTATTATAACCTGTTATAACTTGCTATAACTATATTAAGTAATATAGTAAGTTACTGCCTTAAAGTTGTAACTTACTATATTACTTGCTATAGTTATAGTAATGTAATAACTATCATTGAGATGATTCTATCGCATTATTAGTTGTGTTATATAAATTGCATATAAGTTTATATAAGTTTTAAAAAACTAAATTCATGTAATTTTTATCACATTATACAAAAAGTATCTAGTAACTAGAAACACAGAAATATTATTTTGATTTAAAGCATTTATTTTGATTTTGGCTAGAATTAAGCTTCAAGTTAGTAACTTTGACTAAAATTATAAAGATTATATAGTTATTATGAATTTTGGGCTTATTGCTATACTATGTGATTTAATATTTGTCTAGAGTCAATAATATCATTCTTATATGATTAATTTTTGAACCAAAAAATTGTAAAAACAATTTGAGCAAAAATTTTAGGTTCTTTTAAAAAATTGGTTTTAAAAAATTTCTGTGTTCTTGCTAGTAATCTAGTTAAGCTAAGATAAAGAACTGCTAAAATAATATGCTCTAGACAGAAAATCATAATAGTTTTTTACCTTTAAATAAGATGTTATCAATCTAGCAAAATATTATTATTTATTATACAAAGCTATTTTAAATATATAAAATTTAAACATCTAAGTTGTTTCTAAAAAAAGTGTAATGATTTAGTAAAGTAGGTAAGTTATCAACCTTTTAAGTAGTAAGTTATGCATTCAAAATTCACTAATGATAGAAATTTGAACAATTACTTATATAATATATAGACAGTATTACAGCAATAGCATTCTGTTAATCAGTTAGATTAAGATATCTGTAACTATAATTACATCAATATAATTGGCAAATCACAGAACATTTGTATAATCTTAGTTATATAAAAAAATACAAACTGATATAAGATAGTGCAAACTCAAGATAAGTTCTTGTAATTAATTAATAAAAGTTTGAATTACAAATACTTATTTTTAACATTAAAAAAAAATAAACTATTTTTTAAAATAATAATGAATAAATCAAATAATAAATATACAGTATAAAAAAAGCATATATACAAGTTATATTGTCAGATTTGCTAAAAAAAAAGAATACAAAAATATATAATATTAGGCTATTTGAATTAGTAATTTATAAAATTTTATTAGTTCTAAATAAAGAGAATTTAGTAAAAATAATATATTACAAAGATAAATATTGAGGTTTTAATAAATTTTACAAAAATAAAAAATAATATAATATAGTAATTTAACAAAAATATATATAATTGCAAGTATTAGTTTACTTATAATATATTTTATAAAACTATTAAAGACAAAATAATTCTAAAGATAATATTATACATTAAGTATTTTGAATGAGTATAGTATTAAAAATATTATTATAAAACAAAATAAATTATATATGCAAAAGGTTTAAATAAGTAAGACCTATAGTTAATTTGCAAATATAATATTTAATATAAAATTTGTATAGTAATATATAGACAAACTACTTAAATTAGTACTAAAAATGCATATAAAGATGCTTCTAGAAGTATTTATATTTAATAAACTTTAATAAATACATTACTTTTCAAAGACAAAAACTTTAACTTAAAAAAAACTAATTTTTTTTGTTAGTTATTATTGTATATAAGTAATTAACAGATAGAATATATTTATAAATTGTTTTTTTTTAATATTTTGAAATAAAATAAATAAAATTAAAGAGGTGTGGCGACCTAGTGAAGTGGTTAGGTTGTCAACTCCCAAGTGGCAGGTCCAGAGTTCAAATCCTAGTGTCGATGGAAAATTTGAAAATCCTTTCTATGTTATGGTTAACTGTCTTTCGCAATTGGTTGGGATAAGATACCTGTAACCTGTGTCACACCAGCATGACTGGCAGG